TTATATTTGCTTAATTTATTACCATTTGTAGATCTCCCGCTTTACTTTTTATCTTGTGCATTGGTTTCTACCCACAACGTGCTTAATTTGGAGTTCGTGAAGGGATTCGGGATCAGAGTCTTAAAGAAGGTCAAATCACAATGGATATTGACCTCCGCTGGGGTGGTGATCCGAGTATTATCCTAGCTGTCGAGGTTGCACGTGTTGCTTCTATACCTATTCAGGTTGGTAAACAGAAAATATTCGTAGCATTTTGAAATTGTTCTGAGAATGTCTGTAAGTGTGTGTGTGTGTGTGTGTGTGTGTGTGTGTGGTGGGTGCCAACACTTGCAGTAAATAATCCTTTTATGTCCTGGTGGCTTCTTGTTATTATTTGTTCTGCTACTGTATACTCCTGTATTCAGATGGAACATGTGCCATTCCATTTTCCTTGCAGTTGAAGGATCTTAAAGTTTTCACTGTGGTTCGTGCTATTTCTTGCGGATGAAATTCCTTGCATCTCTCCAGTAGTGGTTGCCCTGCTTGCTGAGGTACATCATGTTGCATATATCTGTTGATTTGATATAAATAAACTTAATGCAGATGCATATGGAATTTATTGAGAGATGGCTATGCAATAATCAATCGATTAAAAGATCGCTAGGTTGAAAGGCAGTCCTTACTACTGTTTCTTCTCCTAGTCACAGAGAAATGACTGGCTGATGCTGTTGTTTCTTACAGCACAATAACATTTTTCTGTTATTATAAATAATATGTTCTCCTTCGTGTTTTTTTCTTTTTCTCTCTGATTGTAAATCATTTCTGCCTTTTGATGTCACTCAGCCGAAGCCGCGCATCGATTATACTCTGAAGGCTGTTGGTGGAAGTTTAACAGCTATTCCTGGGCTTTCAGATATGATTGATATGAGTTCTGATATTTTTCCTTGGTTCAATGAATATTCAACTATATAGACTGACTAATTATTCATTTCATTAAGGACATTGTTAATACCATTGTGACGGATATGCTACAATGGCCCCGCAGGATTGTTGTCCCCATCGGTGGTATACTTGTACAATGGCCCCACATGATTGTTCTTCATTTTTATTTTATTTGTAGGTTGTCTCTTCATGAATTAGCATTCACCTCTTAAAGTGACAATTTTTATTGCTAATATTACCTCTTTTTTATCCGTATGTGATGTGCTTTAACAGGTCTTAGATATTTTGTTCTTGGGATTTGATTATGAGGTGTTCAAATTGATGATGCAGTTGAATAAGATGAGGAAAAAAAATCAGATATTTACGAAAGTTGGCCCCTCACAGGATGTAGCTGCTATGACTCCGAAGCCGACAAAAGGAGGTGGATTCACGGATGATGATGGTGTTGGGGTTGGTCGAACATTACGCGTTAAGTTCAAAAATAGCAAGTTTACCTCACCATTCATTGACCACCGGGAGAAGAAAACTGAGAAGCAATTACAGGCGAAATACGAAAAATGGAAGAAGAAGAAATCTCTAATGTAAGTAGCATGATAATTGTTATATTTTTAAAATTTATAGCACATATGTGAATTTTTAAGTGAGATTTTCTTAACATGAACCCATATTTCTCTTTTATTTATTTTGTTGTTAGGTTAAACGTTGGGGTAAAACCTACTTGGTATCAAGGGCCAGATTACTTTGAAAAAATTGAGGGTGTCAGGAATATGCTTTCTACCGAGGTAAGTAATTGTTCTTTAGAATTTAATCTCAGTACTCGAATGTAGTAGTTCAAAAAAATAATATAATTATAATTTTTGTAGCATATCGATCCATTTTTGGACGTGCTTTCTCGGAGGTTGTACAGTGGGGTCAAATTGAAGTCGGGAGTATCTCTTTCAACAATTAAAATTCAGGATTCCACTCAATTTGTAATTGCTCTTTCAACTAATTATATTTTTCTTAAATAATTTATATTTTGTTGAATGATTCATGTTGATGCTTACTAATTTTCAGGGCTTGTTGTTGAATCAATGGAAAGTGCTTCATCCCGACGATCCTCAATGTACGCAGAGCTATCCAGACGATGCAAATTATGAGAGATGGAATGTTCCTCCGGGTCTGGTCAATTGTGTTCGTGGTACTACTCTTCGTTGGAGATCTCCTTGGCATACAAATCCCAATGTAAGTTTTTCTTTTGTTCTTAATAAAACCATGTTGCTTTAACAAAAAAATTGGCTAATTAATGTTGTGTTAATTATTGGTAAATTATGCTGGATGGTATGGAATGTACTTGTAACATTTATAACATTGTTGGTTTGTAACTTCGGATGACAGGTCATTTTGGTATGTAATGTTCTCGAGCATTGGGTGGTGTGCCGGGTACGGTTACTGGACTGGGAGATCGAGCTTTACGACTCCTTTAGCCACCTTTCATCGTCGAAGGCGTGTAATGACCGAGAGCTTATGTTGACCCCTCTCCGAAGATTGCTTCCCACATTCCTTCACCGGTCCGGTTACTTTGGTGCTTTGAATATTCCGCCCAAGTTAGATGCTTTATCGATTAAGAGAATGTCGAGTGAACTTCAGTTTGTTCAAGAGGATACCCATAATTGTGGTGTATTTGCTTGCATGTACGTTGAACGCATGCTTGGCGATGACATTCCTCGGGAGCCGGACATAAGTTTATATAGAAAGAAAATGGCATTAGCAATTTATGCTCATAGTATTCTCGTGTCGAATTAGTGTCATTTTTTGGGGCTTTTGTTGTGTAATGTTATTGCTAATTGTAGTGTATTTAGTACTTTGACAATCGTGGTCTGTTTGCTATTATTTGGTACTTTGGTCTATTGCAAATTGTACCTCTGTTTTTCTCCGCTACTCGCGGAAAAATCCCGCGAGTCGCGACCCTGGGAAGCTTGTATAGCCGTTACAATTCTGTTCTTCACCGCGACTCGCAAGTTTATCCGCGAGTCGCGATTATTATAATTTTTTTTTTTTTGACTGAAAATGGAACAACAAAATTACATTCCAAGCAAATTGATCAATCCATAAATATGGTTATGTCTGCACTCAAATAAATGATTATCAATCTTTTACATACAACAACACCCAAATAACGTTAAATCTGCAATTCCATAAAGAGGATTACGAGGTGGGAAATGTATCCAGAAGTTTCTCATATATTGGCACTGCATCTGAAATAGGCATTCACAAATAACAAACCACCCAAGTTTACTTATCTTAAAGGATCGAAAGAGGAAAAAGGATACATAACAAACCAAACTGACTTCAAAATTTTCAAGGACAAAACACCTACCATCGTTTTCAGACATTACCATAGCACATCAACTGAAATCACCAATCAGTAGCAAAACAAATACGGGGTTCTTACATAGAAGTCCTCACTATCACCCCACTTAAAACACATAGAAATTATTCAATGATCCAAGAAATCTATTTCTGCATTTTTTTTTTTTGCAGTATGCATTTTATCTCGTTTCTGGGCCCAGAAATCGCTTTCTGGGCTCAGAAATCGATTTCTCAACAAGAAATCACATTTATGGCCCAGAAATCGATTTCTTTGACAAGAAATGATTTCTGGGACCAGAAATCATGGACAAGAAATCACATCTCTGCCTGTCCATTTTTATAAACATTCTCATCCCAATATCCGCTATGCACAATACGAACTTTTTCACACATCTGTAAACCAAAGATGTAAAATTATTTAATGACAAACAATTTCTAGCAAGGAATATTTGAGAATTAAGTAATCAATGTTTATAATAAAACAAATAGAATGGTTTATAGAATGATTTTTGAAATCACACAAATTGTTCATACGATTCGAAAAACATTTTTGTGAAGAGATCCCATAAACCGTGTTTCTGGGACAAGAAATCGATTTCTGGGACTAGAAATCGATTTCTGGGAATAGAAATAGATTTATGGTCCAGAAATTGGATTTCTGGTCCAGAAATCGATTTTTAGGCCAGAAATGTCATTTATAACCCAGAAACGTATTTCTTGCCCATAAATCAAATCAATTTCTGGGCAAGAAATCACATTTCTGATACTATTAATCTAGAAAATCGATTTCTTGGCAAGAAATTGATTTATGGACAGGAAATCAATTGTTAGTAAAGAAATGCATTTCTTGCCAAGAAATCAATTTCTTGGCAAGAAATCGCTTTTCTTGACAAGAAATTAATTTCTTGGCAAGAAATCACATTTCTTGCCCAGAAATTACATTTCTGACCTAGAAACTGATTTCTCGCCAAGAAATGTGATTTCTGTGCTACAAATTGATTTTTGCGTCAGAAATCGATTTCTAGCACAAAAAATGAGACTATCCAGAAATCGATTTCTGGGTCAGAAATGTGATTTCTGGGTCAG